AAATGTGCAAAACGCGACTAAAGACGTTTTCACTTAAAAAATTGGAAGACTTTGTCGGTTTTGGGACTCGAGTGTGGAAGAAGATGCTGACGTGATGATCATCACTACAGCTATCAAGAAGTCATCTGATTTAGAAGTAATCGCAAGTTAGGAAAATGATTTCCATCTTTTTTAATATTCTTAGTGGCCTTACGATAAAAAACATTAAGAGAGCCTGATTGTTCCTCTAACACAACTTAAACCTTTCATCAAATCAGAATACTTTAATGATACTAGATAGATATAGCAGAATCATTATGCATATCATCCTAAGCCCAAGAAGTGTAGAAGATCGTAATGTAGAAATCCTAATTCCTCCACCTCGACAACTGCAGATCGTCACCTCTATCTTTTTATTCACGCTTTCAGTGGTTTTGGTTCGACGTGATTCACATTCTTCGTTTTGGGAATACTCAAATTGCTAATACCTGTAGACAAAGCTTCATACCTTACGGAGAATACTACAGATTCTCAAACTCTACATTCACTTCAAACACTGAACAACCTGGACTAACTTAACAAATACGCTCCCTTCAACTTCTCAATACTGCCGCCTTAACGATACTATGCTAGGTTTTGCTCCTTACTAACATCATACCAGCAGGTGGAGAAGTGAATGGGTGTGGATATCAATCCGTTTGAATGAGGGCGGCCAGCCCAAATTCTCCACAGTTGATGTCGAGAGGTGCCTTTATACATGAAATGGCAAGTGTATGACAGAATATGTAAAAACAATTAGCTTCAAAATCGCTGGGTTATGTTCAAACGTTTTAATGAATAAATGTGCCAAAACAGATCTCAAAACTGAGAAGCTGTATATTGGAAAATACTGGGTCTGCATTAAAATAATTGGTCTAAAATTGCAATTAATATAGGTACATAGAATATTTTTTGTCGAAAGTTCCTCTTTAATGACTATTAAGCACTTGGGAACAACTGAAATGAATTTTTTTTTGCTGTTTTGGGGCTATTTAATACTTATTTGGATGTCGGTCGAAGTCTAAAGTTTGCATTTTACATCTCGGTAACTGGTTTGAAATCGTTCTATACCTAGACGACATATTTATAATTAATCTTTAAAATTAATAACTTTTAATTAACGATTTATATATATATATATATATATATATATATGTAAAATATTTTATTTATTTAATTAAAAGTTATTAATTTTTAAGATTAATTATAAATATTTTATAATATATCATTATTATCATATAAACGATTTCCTTGTATATTTCTAAAATATTGATATTTGAACAATATTTAAAATAATTATTTCTTTGGATAAGTTGTCCGCAACAAGGGATTTAGCTGTGGGATTTTTAACAATCGAAATTATATTCGCTTAAGTGATCGACACTTAAAAATTTTAACTTATGATTATTTTTCGTTTTATTTAATTTTCCATATACAAAATAATACACGTTGTAAATAATAATTTATATAAATAATAATATTAAAATTTTACATCGTTTTGAAATTAGAAAATCTTAAAAAAAATATTCAACCTTATGAATTAGTTGCCTAATGTCGTTCGAGACGGCCAGATCCATCTAGCGGTGAACTGTTCAGTTTCTCACTTCAAACTATTTCCTACAGAGACCTCTGACATCGGAGAAATCATTTTACATTGTGAAGTCCTCTAACAAGGGTTTTTCTACATCTTTTCTTACTTTCATTTGTGAAAGTACTTAATAACGTTACAGTAATTATGCAAGCAAACAGATATAATGTGCAATTTTAATTTATTTTTTTTTAAACGAAAAATTAATTATATTTTTTCCCTATCTTTATTTTATACCGTTTAATATTTAAGCAAAATCACAGTTCGAATTTGAAGCGATTCTAAAAATAAAGTGAATTCTTGATTTTAAGAATCTTTTATCATTAGTAAGATTGGAGATGGACGGGAGGGATCTAAGCTATTTATTGTTTTATTTGCAAGTACCTTCATAATGACAAATGAACTACAATACTAAAATAATTAGAAACAAAAGAATTTTATATTTTGGCGTGTGATACCCCGATGGTAAAAATATCACATTGTTTATTCATGTATTTTTTTATTTACTGCATCAGATGGTTTGTCAGCAATTGAAATAATTTAAAAATCAATTCAACTCCTATTCTTCTTTTTTTAAAACTTTTTTTTTTAATTTTTAACGATTGTCGATTTAAATTATTTTATAAAAATACAGTTCAAATTATAACCAACATTTTTTGTGAGTTGTTTATTATTACAAAGCTAACTAATAATATTAATTTTTAATGATTTTAATATTTATCATAAATTAAACGATATTTCATAGAATTTATGTCGATCTCTATTAAGCGGTTATAAAAGAAAAAAAAATGTTTTTTGCTTCCAACAGAAAAGTATATATATATATATATAAACACATGAGAAATATTTAAAAAGGAGGAAGATGGTCCGGGGTGGCGGTCATAAATAGGGTGAATAGTGGAAAAATTATTTGATTAAAAGCCAACGTTTCGACTCGACTTTCCAAGTCTTCTTCAGGGCGGTGTGTTCAGCTAGTTTCACTGAGAACTGACTGAACTGTCAGTTATAAGTGAAACTCCTAGCTGAACACACCTTCCTTTTTTTATTTATTTAAATCCCTGCCGTGCCTGATAGGCAATACGGGTTTTAGCAGTAGTGAGATGTTAAGTGTTTCCGCGGAACAACACACTGCTGCTAGAAAAACAATATTTATAAACTAGGTCCATATTTCGTTTACATTTTTTCTAGTTTTGGACATTGTCTTCTTCTGCTCCTCGGTCCGGCGGCCTTCTAGGCGGTGCACCTCCTCTTCTTCCCAAAGAGAAATGAGTTGGGCGTATAATGGATTTCCAATTTAAAATAAAATCTTTGGAATTAGGGTAGTTTTCCTCACTCATTAGCTGAGGGAATTCTCTCTCAGTCGAAACATAGAGACCGGTTTCCCTCAGATGATTTCATACCTTGTCACCTAAAATTACCAATGGGTTTTCACACAACACATAAAAAATGAGTTTTCAGCAATAATTACTACATTTAATTATTGCAAAGCTGTAATTAATTTTTTCCATTACCTGGATGTATTATAACAAGTATAAGTTCATAAATACACTTTTTTTTCATAAAAATCAAATTGTTAAAAATAATGGTTTTTTTTTTAAATATTTATCATCCAAAGTGATAATCAAACTGTGATTTATTAGACTGTAATATGATAAATATTATCATATTAAATATTTTTCAAACCAAGTACAATATTTACATCATACTTATCATACTTAAATTAATTAAATTATACTTAAATCCATGAAATTAGGGTCGTTTTTATTACAATTGGGATCTTTCGGAAATCAGGCGGATCTTGTTAACGCTTTCAGAATAAACCTCCCTCCTGGACCTATTGTTTCGTTCTAGGGTACGTTTTCTAATCGAAAGAAAGGTCTTAACAAAAGCGAGAGTAGCCGGACGTAAATAATCTTTTTTTTTTTTTTCAGTAACATCTGTTTCTTTGAAAAAGAAAAAAAATGTACATCTTATTGGTCTTTATTATTCTCAAGAATAAACGGTGAAAAAATATTTAAAAAAAAAAGAAATGAATACACTTTTTTTATTTTTTATTTATTTATGATATTTACAACAGTATCAGTAAAAATACATCAAATAAATGTGTACAGAGGAATATAATCACCTGAAAATGCTTTTTGAGAAACTATCATAGATAGTACTCCAATAATATGTCTACATAGGCAGATCACGAGGCCATCTTCTTTTCAGAAGCCTCGGAGGGTTATCAGGAATCGAAGAGGAAGCAAGAGGCAAGGTTAGAAATAAGAGGATTCGGATGGTTATGAAATTTATTATGGAAGGATAGGTTTCCGGATTAGGCCAAATCGGAAACATATGGAACATTAAGGCGAATAAACTTAAACCACCAGTTTGTACGAAATTAGGATAAATTTTGTATACCTGACCAATGTATATATATAAATTATTATGAGCAATTATGTGCACTTTCAAATATTTATCCTGTTCATAACTGCCTAATCTTGATTTTTGTTGAAATATTCCTTTCTTTAATAAATATTAATCAGCTTGTGATGGAGGAACCTGTTTCTCTACTTTTTTTGGAAACTCGGGAGCACTCATTAAAATGTTTAAGAATTAACTAGTTTTTCATAGCCTTTTATTTTTTTTATCGATGTGAGACAATCCTGTTTAATTTCTCTGAACATTCGAAACCTTTTATAAAACTTTCATTCTCTATTTTTAACTCTGTAAAAAAATATCGAAAAAAGATGGATATCGAATCAATTAATGCATTCTCGATCTGTGATACAATTCACATGTCACCAACTAATTTTTTTTTTTGACGGTGATTTTTTCTCGAACATTATTGTCCAATATTATAAGATAACTTTAAAGAAATGTTGAACAAATGTTATTTTTAAGTTTATCTAATCTTCGTTTAAAATACCAGTATGAAAACCAAAAGTAGTCAATAATAAACTGAGGAATAGCAGTAACATTTTTAATTAGTTTTATCTGTATAAATTATATTTAATAGAAGAATATTATTATAAAATAAAATATCTCATTACTTTGAACTTATAATTGTTGATTTAATGTGTTCATTAATATTATTTTAATAACAAAGGATCTTTTATAAATTATTTTTGGTATAAAAATAAGTTACATTAAGTTGTATGTATAGCTATTTCTTTATCATTTCACTGTGTGTTTTGAGTTGTTTTGCTGACATCTTACCTTTCGAAGAATATTTTAAGTATTCTTTGAAATATAGTACTTAATATATTTTTTTGCTATATTTTACATTTCTGTGGATGTAGAAGAAAATTGAAAATCTACCTGCTTTATTACTGCTTGATTCAGGTAATAGTAATGGAGAATTGAAAAAAATGAGCACATGTTTATAAAAAAAAAATATATAATTTATTTGGTACAAACGTTGACATTATAATACAAGTGCATCGAGGACGAATGGCAGGAGAAACGATTCAATAAATATAAAAAACGCTGGCAATCACGAATCAATGTTTGGAATAGCTGTTATATCCATTTGACGGTGGCAGGTAAGATCCAGATGGGGATCCGTAGGTTGAAGATGGTTGGGAAGCTGGCTGAGAATAAGATTGAGACGGCTGGGAGTAGGTTGAAGATGGAGCTCCATAGGATGCAGATGGTGTTCCGTAAGAAGCAGAAGGAGATCCATAGGATGCAGAAGGTGTTCCGTACGAAGCAGATGGTGTTCCGTAGGATGGGGATGGAGCAGAGTATGTGCCCGATGATGAAGATGGGGAAGAATATGTGGAGGATGGAGAAGAATAAGTTGATGAGGGAGCAGAGTATGTCGCTGAAGGGGATGAATAGGTAGATGAAGGAGCTACGTAGGAAGAAGAAGCTCCAGAAGATGGTGCGGAGTAAGCAGTAGCACCAGATGTGTAGGAAGGAGTGTATGAGATGGCTGGGAAGTGGGAAATAGGTGTGAGGGCACTGAAGTCAATACCGTGTCCAGATCCCAAACCGACAGAGCTCAATCTTGGGTAGTGAAGGCCACCAACATAAGGAGAAGAGAGACCGGAGTAGAGGTCGAGTTGGGGCTGGAACAGGCTGTGGACTGAAGGCTGCAAGAACTGGAGAAGGCTGCTGTAGTCAGCTCCCTGTCCCAGGCCATGGCCGCCCACGTACATCACGACTGGAGAGGCTGCTCCGGAGTGACCGCCCGAGGAGTAGGCTGAGGGTGCGGAGTACGATGGTGCGCTGTAGCTGGCTGGCAGGTATGTTGCGCTGGGAGCGCCGTAGCTGCTGCTTGGAGTTGAGTAGCTACTGCTTGGGGAAGAGTAGCTGCTGCTTGGAGCTCCATAGTTGCTGCTAGGAACTGCATAGCTGCTACTGGGAGCCTGGTAGGTGGGGCTGCCGCTCGAGTAGCCACTTGAGGTACTGCCTGCTGGCGTCCTCTTGTCCTTGGTCGCTGTCAATTCGGTCGACTTTGTTGATTCAGCGGCGAAGGCGCACGCTACCAATCCTAATAATACCTGCAATAAAAACCAAAGAAAATTTTAGATTTATTTGTGTATTAAACTTATCTAAAGATTACTCTTTTATATTGTATGATAAATTATATAATTAGTAATATGAGCCAATTAGTTGCCTGGGCATTGAGCTTGGAATTGATATTCTCTGGTTAAATTCAACATCCTTAAATAAAAGAAGTTAACAACATCCAAATGCAGTATCGATAAGGTACAGGCAAAAAATATGTTTCCCTAGTTGAGGATATGTGGCTAATCCACTTTACATGTCGTTGCAACAGTTGGAACTGAGTCAGTACTGCCGGGTCGCTTACCGGCCGGAACGTGACTCGGATAAAGGCTTGTTCATTTAGCTCTCCTTGCATCTTCTATTATTTAACCCAAGTGTATGCTGGAATTTCAAAAAGATTCCTCACTTTACTACAATCCGTTCGAAACATTTAGCTAAGGTTCGTGCAGCTAGGTATTCAGGTATCTTTTATCAATGGTTTAATAAAATATTAATGATTATTACTTTGGTGGTGTTGGCCTTCGTATTAAACTGAAAATATGTTAAAATTTACACCTGCCTGAAATGTAAAAGGTTGCATACCGACAGCGGACCATATCCATAAGAATTCGAGTTTTGAGAATGAAGGGCATTTTACAGTAAAGATTTTAAGCCAAGTATCTGAATAATGATTGATTTGGTTCGGTAAGGATAACTGAGCAGCTGTTCAGGCGTCATACAAGCTGTTCTTTCTATAAAAACGAAATTTAAGCTTTACAGGAACAAGTGAGATTGTATTTCGAACGTTCTATATCCTAACTATCAATATTTTTACAGTATTGTTGCAAAAGGCCTATACTTTTGTTTTATGATATTTTTGGAGAGATTGGTAGCAATCTAATATTATTTTTAGTGAATTAAACAAAAGCTTTTTTTTCATATATTTAAAATATAAAGAGGATCATTGTATTATTCGTTACAAAAACTGAAACAATTTTTATAAAGGTATTGATATTCGGTTATCGGAAACTAGAAAATACATTTCTTTTTTGAAAAAAAGTATTTCCATCTGGGTAATTTTTTTTTTTTTTTTATGGTCTTAAGAAATGCATTCGATAAGCGTTCATGAGAGAAAGTCAATTCGATTCTTTATTCTCGATAACATTTCACACGAAGAACCCTCGTGAAACCAGAAATAAAGCTCACAAGATGGTTTGCGATACACGTCAAAATTTTTATGCCTTGTTGAAGTTTCCATAAAGTGCCATCATGTTAATATTATTTTCTTATTGATGTCATAAAAATTATGATAAAATAATAGAATCAGTTATTGAAACAGATATTTTTAATGAGATATATTTGAAAATTAATTAAGGACTGATCATGATTAACAAAAACTCATTAATTCAGTGACCAATATTTATCACCGATCATATAAATATGAATGGTTTATATTTTCTAAAAATTTTCTTAAAATGAAGGTGAATAGTAGCATATAGTTCTACGCGAAACATAATGTTGCATTATTAGACTACTAAGGAATAAATTATCAAGTGTATCAAAACGCGAATAAATTATAAAATATTTTATCATTGAGATTAAATTAAGTAAAGAAAAAAAAAACCTTACTCTTCTCAAAATACAAACTAGGAACGTCATATTTTAATACTTTAAAAATTTAATGTTCAGAGTGTATTAAATTATAAATGCTAATAAGAAATTTTATATTAATTGCCCTCACAGTCCGTCGAGTCACGTCTTATCTCTCAATGTGGCCCATGAAACTCGTAAAACTAGACTGATTAGACGTGACTAGACGGTCTCGTCACCATTAGAGAAGAAAATCCCAATTCCCTGTTTTAGTAATCCAAACAATACTGAAGTTGGAAAATTAATTTTTAATAATATATGACCATAATAACAACAAGACTTAAGTATCATCGAAACACTGATTTTCGATCCTAATACTATTCTTTTTTGCTTATGTATCTTTCCACAAAGAACCATTAAATGTTATAGTTCAGAACCATCTATGTATTTCTCCCATCATAGCCGCGATTTTATTATTTTAGTAGTTTTTTCTCATGTAAAAGTAATACTATTCTGCGATGCATTGCAGTCTGAATTTTTGATGGACTTTAGACCTCTACATCCGAGTTTATGTTGTTGTTCTGTCATAACAAAGAGTTATCATGATTTGAATTCCAAAAAAAGAAAATAGACTGAAATAGGTATGAAAAAAAAATTATATTTCAAATCTGTTAATGATTATCTGAGAAATTATTTGATTAGCATGAAATTATACTCTTCATAAATAAAATTAATTATTGCACCGATAAATTATAATTTTCCATTCCTTATGAAATGGAAACAGTTTTTAGAACTATACAAAATCTGTATCGAATAGATTTTTTTTTTAAAATAATTTGATGAAGAGTTGAAATGCTTATAGATGATTCTTTGATGAAGCTGATTTTGCGGTCTAAGAAACAATGAGCCGAACACTTTGAATTTTCGCACAAGTACACTGCAATGGTATTCGCTTGAGGCCACTGCTCGTCCACACCCGAACGCGATTGGAAGACTCCACTAAGACGAAGACGCTATTAGGATCCGAAGAGGAGGTTGCTACTCACCCAGGTCCTCATGATGCTGCTGTGAGATGTGATGGTTTGATGCTGAGTACCCCTCGAGGGGCCCCTTATATAGTCCACTTTCGGCGGGAGCTTTCCCCGGCCCCACTCCGCCCCCCCCCCCCATCGGCCTACGCTCCGGGGTCTTATCGTATCTTTCTCGCTAAATGTATCGTCCCAATAAGGTCATCGCTTCATTTAGATCGCTTCGGCTAAAAGAACATAATCTCCTAAGACAAGTTTTTCGAAACTTGCGTTACTGTAACTAGATATCTATAGCATCGGCACAATCGGGTGTGTTTTGGTTTAACATTCAAATGTTTCTGACATTTTAACTTGTACGGTCCTCGGATATAAGTAGACGTGTAACAATTGGATACAACTGACCTTTTACAAAATATCTTTTCGAAAAAATATCATATTTGAATTTTAGTTCTGTTAATCAATTCCCCAACAATTTAAGACAGAAAATATGGTTATTGATAACAGAATGATACCGTCAAGAACATCGTTGTTTAGAATATCACTGGTCACTCAATATCCTGGAAATCTGCAATCTTACTTCATCCACACAGTAATACAAAAACTTTATTTTTTCTAATTACCTATGTACCTAATAACCCACTATAGAGATCTGAGTAGTTTTAAAAACTTATATTTACTAAAAGTTAAAAAAAAAATGATAATTTTAATGAGTTTTCTTATAAATTATTTGTTGTTAGAAAAATTTGGCTGTTCTCATTTTCAAGTAAAAAATTTCCAAAAGGTTGTTAGTTTCTAATATTATTTAATTTGCATAAATTATTTAAACAAATGTTCAAGTATTTATTTATATCTGGGAGCTTATCTTGAATTTTTATTTTTAATTTAACAATTATTAATAGGGTTCTTTCATAACCAGATATTTCCACTAATATCTTTTAAAATCATATTAATTCAACAAGGCCATTTTCTCCTTGGTATAATATAATAAATACTTCTCAGTCTGATTTTTTTTTTTGGAAATATAAAAAATTATCAAAATTAAGTTTTATTTATTTTTATTAAGTTTTATGGATATTGAGAGCCATTACTACAGGCTTGTATTGATCCTGGGCTCTGAGGATTCTCTTGTGAGTTCCTTTAAGTAATTATTTAATTGAACGAAAAATCATTCAGATTAGCGTGTTTTCGACCAAACTACATCCTTGCACAACCATTGATCTGTTATAAGTAAACAATATTTATTTTACAAAGGAATAAATTCAAGACCTCAATGTTTTGCTGTTGTGTTACGAGTTTTTTTCTTGGTGAGGGAGAATGTTGTGGGATGTTTAAACAGTAAATGTTGAAAAGTGTTGTACCCAAGACACTGCCTTGAGGTACTCCAGCTTTTATTAGTTTCATGGCAGAAAACTGAGTTCTCATTTTCACACGGAAAAATCAATCTTTTGGTAAAAAAAAAAAAATAATAATAATATCAAATAATTAAAGTTGTAGAAGATAACGGAGAGGGGAAAAAATATAAATAATTATTTCAGAAAACTAACATTATTTAACCTAAATCACATGCTTCCAAGGAAATTAAATGAAATTTTCTTACTTGATGTAAACTTTTAAAATATTTTATAATTTTTAAAAAAATGTTTAAAATCCACCTAATCAAGGCAATGGCATTGGTTAAAATACTATTTCATTGTTCTTGTGTGAAAAAAGAAGTGAAATATAAAAATATTTTATGGATATACGTATAACCTTAAATATATTTACTGTAGTTTAGTAACACTAGAGATGATATTATATTTTGATAATTAGGTATCTATTGGACGTTTATTCGAAAAAATCATCAAGTAACTTTTTAGAGAATTAGAATTTGATGAAATTTCCCTTTGTGAAATCCAAACATTATCCACTTTCAATTAGTGTGACGACTTTTGTCCTATCCGCGGTAGGCAATGAAAATCTCGTTATATGTTTTTAGTAAACTTTACAATGTAAAACAGCAGTTTAATAACTAATATTCCTACAATCGATAATCATTTATAGGTTAAATATTCTGATGTACTTTCAAATCTCTCTAGGCAAATGTGAACCATTCGGTTGACAGAATGACTAACTCCAATTTAAACATTCTTTATCATTAATTTTAGCGACGTTCTACTGACAAAATTTATACCTTAATTCACAGTTCTATATTTCAACACTGCAATCACCTACTCTGGAACCAACTGGCTAGCAGTCTGTATAGATATAAATTTGCTAAATGACATTAGTAAAAAATGTTGAAATTGGAGTTAGTCATTCGGTCAACTGAAAGGTTCAGAGACCGGAGCTGTGTGGTTTATAAAAGTAGATGAAGTAACTAGATTTTTATTGTCAACCGACGATGTAATAAATAGACTTTTTGTAATTTTAATGTTCTTAATGATTGATTTGTTATCTGTAAGCTTTAAGCATTCCAAATTTTATAATAGTCCAATATTGCCAGTAAATAATTTCTTTTCAAAGTGAAAGTTGTGTGTTGCGCGCACCAGATTTATATATATATATATATATTCAATTCTGTTGAATTTATATATTCAAGCCGTGTTGTTAATTCAAATTTAATTTTCATTACTAATCATAATATTTAATCAAATATTATTGATAAAGACCTCATTTTTTATAGTAGTTTTTATTATTAATTTTTGTAATTGAAATTACAATTATGATTTTACCTATTCTTTTTTAGATTCTGTAATTGTTTGAATTTCATCCTTAGGTATTCTGAATAAGAACTCTTTTTTCTTTCGTCCTATATTATTGCTATATATTGGTATATTGTTTTTTAAATCTTTTATGTGATTAATGTAATAGGAGTAAGATAGTTCCGTGATTAAGACACTGTGCTCCTATCTTCCGTGGTTGGGTTTAACACCGGTAGGGACAGTTAATTATATATTTGGGTATATCAGATGAAAATACACTGCTGGGGTAGATCCATCCTCTCAATAAATATTTTAAACTATAATAGTTTAAATACCATTTTAAATATATCTCAAAATTTTTGTTGTAAATAAGTTCTTAATTTTTTTTTTTTTCATAAAATAAAAAGACTAACCAATACTTTCGTTGAAGATTTTTCATAATTTCGTTGTGAAATATAATAAAATAAAATGAAGTTCGTCTTTACTTGCGTAAACTTACTTATTTATTCGGTATCCTATGGGGTAGGGTGCAAAACGCAGAAAAAAAAAACAAAAATTAAATTTCTAAAATCTAAAAATTAATAAATGTTTATTGTAGTTGATGAGCTGTACAATACAAATGAAGTAATTTTAGAAGGAAAATTCTTAAGGAGCAATCAATATAAACAGTTAGATATTGTTCATAGTTCCGAAAACAAGCGGTTATATATTTTTTTTGTTATCCCTTTAAATTTTCATTTAAGATATCGTTGGAAGTAATGGTTTTAAGGAGAAAATCTCAATGGCTTAGTTCTGCAAATATCGTTTGACACCTTGTGGATATGTTTATTGGTTATCTATAATAAGTAGTTTTTACGAGAATGGAAGTAACATATTAAGCAGTTTTATATGTGGAATGTAGAGCATGAAGAAAGGATCAAGTGATGTGATACAGAGAATTGTTTAATAAATATTTGTACCTCCAATAACTTCGGATGTACCAAAAATTTCACTGTACCGCTGCCCTAATTAGTAGAGATTTCGGTTAACCACAGAATTTCCATAGGTATAGCAGGAAATGAATTGTGTTTGACGGGATTAACAAATTAGTTGGTTTAATCCGACGTTTCTTGTTAACCGAGTTCACGATAACGAGGGATCAGTGTAGAGCACTAGCGGATCCAGGATTTAATTTTGGGGGGAGGCTTCAGTCCGAAAGTATTTTTTTCATGAAAATAACGATAATTACTTTGGAAAAAAATAAAGAAACTAACTACCTGTATGAAATGGTGTTTAAGTGATTCCTAAAGCCCTTTTAAATGTAATTACACGAACAATAATACTTTAAGAGATACTTTTTTTATATTTTTCTCGATAAAACAGGGTTATATTTTACCATTTGGGGGGGGGGGGACTTCAGCCCGAAAGCCCTCCCCCGTAGATCCGCCCGTGGTGTAGAGACAAGTTTTCACTAATCCTTACTTACTATATCGAGCCTCGAAGTTTTGTCAAACAGACATCTTATGAGTATATTAAGCCCTTGGTGGTATAGTTACATACTGTGAATGATTTTAATATCAGTGTCTATTTTTTTTAATTTACTTATCTTTAAGTTATTTTATTTGTATAAATTGTATATACTTTTTGATTATAATTAGTTGTTCCTTTGTTTATGTTTATTTTATATTTTCTGTATATATAGTGCGAGTGTAGTCTCACCTCAGTATAATTATTGCCCATGTGACAGAATTTTATGTTACTTAATGAATAAATAATTAATAAAAAAAATGAACTGTGAATTGTGCTTTACCACTGAATTTTGTTACGATTCCAAAGCAATTTTATAAAGTTTCTTTTTCATAGTATTATTAAAAACCGAGTATTAATTATGGATTATCCGTTTCATTAAAAATCCTTCACGAATATTTCAAACTTCATTAATCTCGTTATAAGATTAAATTAAATTTCGAATTTTAATTTTGTTTTCCTTTAAAATTTCTATTTCGGTATTAAAATGATAAATTAAGAATTTTATCTAATATTTTAAAATTAGGAAAATTTGATTATGATAATTAATAATCTTTTCGACACACACAAGAAACAAGATGAAGCTTTTACAAAATTACTTTATTTCGTAGTTTCTACTTTTTGATGTTACATTCCTTATTCTTGTTGATACCACAGCCATTCGTTGTTTTTTTTATTAAAAATTGTTTGAGTCAACGATATTTATATAAATTAAATAAAATATTGATATTTATCGAAAATATAATTATTATATTGATTATTATTAAAACTAACTTGTTAAGAATTTTTCTGTTCTTAATAAATATCAAAAATGATTGTTAACGTCTCGTGAGTTTAAATCTCAAATTATCAAAAGT